TTCTACCGACGAGGAGGACGAGCGATTCGTCTCGAAACGACTCGCCGGAATGCAATAAAAGACTCGAGCACTACGGCCGGAGAAACATCCAGTCTGGCTATGAAAATTTCTTATTGACTCTCTTTGAGGATTCTCTCGTCGCGACGCGACACGACACGATTCCACGCTTCGCGAGACCTTTTTTCCACCCGTTTTCACCTGCACCTCGTTCCCGAGTTTATGTCTCCCTCGCTGTCTTTCACTTTGCCCTGGGATTTTCACTGGGACCGCTTAATCCCGCGTTAGGACTGCGGAGAACGCAGCTTTCAGCCTCCGTCTATAGCCTCTGTGAGATTGGAAGAACCTTGTCTCTTTATCAGCAGTTATCGCCTATTTATACTTCCACATCTCTCGACGCGTTTTGNCTTTCAAACGAATTTTTCGCCGTGTAACAGGTTGGCCGATCGGTTGCCTCTGCTCGACGAGTTGTTTGCACGGCTCTTTCAACATCATTTTTACCAGCTCGAAGGTTCGACCCTTTACCTCAGAACTTGCCACATATCAATTCAATCCTTTTCCCATATTTAACTTTGCTGATCTGTTTGACATAGTCGAGAAATGTTCAATTGTTCCCACATACTACGTAACTACGACGTCACTGATAAATGTAATATAATTTAGTAAAAATTTTGTTAGTTTGTTTGCTTATTAAACGATCTATTAACGAGATATTAACCCTTTGCACTCGAGAGGTGACTCCGTGGCCTCACTAAAAATTGCTATACCACGTTTAAAAGTAATTTTGACAGTATCAAATTTGTTTATATCTAAGAAAACTGTTGTACAATTGCATACGCAAAATTTGGATTCCAAGTTAAAATAGCTTCGAGTGCAAATGATTAAATACCAGCTTCGATGTATGTTAAATAATTTGAGTGTGCCAAGCAAGTTTACATATTAATTGAACCTAGAGTCGTCTATCCTACAGAGCCGGCTTTTCAATGACTGATCTAGAGAAATTTGATAATTGTCTTTTCAGTAATAATTTCGAGCGAACTTGTTACATTATATTAATCAAAACGATTCGATGGATTACGGGCGGGATAATTGCAGTTTTCGAACGATTGTTTCAAGAAACTCGTAACAGTGAAAAATTGAGAACTGTTAGAAAACGAAGTGTTAGGAAGTTTCGTATCACCAGCGACCATAACTGTCGACAGGACGATCTTTCGGCGAACTTATGCAGCATTACGGCGCGGAAGGTGCGTTCGAGGTATGAAGTTCGATTAAGAGCGACGGTTAACGAGGATCGATGCCGCGCTTCCGATTTTATGGAGTTGCGCCGGTTTTTACGAGCGGTCTGCTCGCGAAATACGCTGTCCCGGGCGCGAAGAGACACTTTTCCAACGAATTATTCCGTTATCGTTCCCACGCCGTTTGGTCGGCTGGATCGATCCTTCCGCTCTGTCTCAGTATCGCTTCTTTGACAATTTCGGCTCGAAAGCCCGGCGCTCTATCGTTTGATTCTCCTTTCCTTTGGAGAGCCAACCGGCAGAGTAGAAGACAGAGAGGGAACGACTCTCTCTCTCTCTCTCTCTCTTTCTCTTGGTTTCTACCGACGAGGAGGACGAGCGATTCGTCTCGAAACGACTCGCCGGAATGCAATAAAAGACTCGAGCACTACGGCCGGAGAAACATCCAGTCTGGCTATGAAAATTTCTTATTGACTCTCTTTGAGGATTCTCTCGTCGCGACGCGACACGACACGATTCCACGCTTCGCGAGACCTTTTTTCCACCCGTTTTCACCTGCACCTCGTTCCCGAGTTTATGTCTCCCTCGCTGTCTTTCACTTTGCCCTGGGATTTTCACTGGGACCGCTTAATCCCGCGTTAGGACTGCGGAGAACGCAGCTTTCAGCCTCCGTCTATAGCCTCTGTGAGATTGGAAGAACCTTGTCTCTTTATCAGCAGTTATCGCCTATTTATACTTCCACATCTCTCGACGCGTTTTGACCTCGTTCAATCATCGTGTCGCGGAACACAATTTCCCTCGTTACGAATATTATAATTAGATTGCGGATTCTACGCGTATATGGCAACAATTAGTAGATCAAATATGAAATAGGAACATTTGAAAACTTTCAAATGATTATTACAGAATTTTCAACTTATCGAATTTCTTAAGAGATAATTTAGAACTTCGGATAAGTTCTACTGCACGTAACGCTATTTCTACCGATCTTTTGTATATTCCTTTACGAGGAATTTTACAAAATTAATTTCACGATCTTTGTAGGAAGAGTGAAACAGTCAATCGAGAAATCGTGATAAAAGATAGAAAATAATTTTAAATAAAATTCCTTGAATGTTTTTGATCGCTTTGATAAAAATCCAATTTCGCTGGATTTGCGATTTTTCAAAGAAGGAATTTTTACCACCATGTCAATACGATACTCGAGATATTTTATATTTTCGTCTTAACCCCGAAAACAAACGAAATAACCGAGAAAACAAAAGGGGAGAAAGAATACACCTACCTGTCCTCGGGTGAAAGAAACTGGTCCGTTGCTCCAACCGATTCTGAACGAAAAGAAAAAGGATGCGTGACGGTGTGGGTGGTGAACGTAAAAGTTGCACGAAAGAAAAACAAACGGAGGCGGTTGCCGAGATGGAGATGACGTTTAATCGTAAATCAATAAAATTAATGAATTAAATAAATAAATTAAAAATGTTTATACACATACTTATATGATATAATATAATTTATATTATGTGGCTGGGATAATATAACTTATATTATATGATATAAAATCGAAAACATAAATAGGGTCTCGAGACTGCTGCCCCATCCCTTCCGATTTTCGCGCCTTGTTCTCGCACGGCGGCGTTCGAGAAACTCCGACAGAGATCGATCCGGTTTCCCTCTGTTTGTCTCGTCCGAGCGGAGGTATCGTTGTTCCACTTTCGTTTCTGTCGGAAGGTGTGCTCGAGGCTTCGGACAGGAAAACGAGACGACGGGATCGCGCGCCGTGAAACGGGAGAACACACCGTTTGTTCTCAGCACGCGCGAGTCTCGACCGAAAGGATCAAAAGAATCGGATACATTTTCGCGGCCGGAGTTGTTTCTAAATGCGTCCGATCGTCTCGTTCGGAAAGTTCTCGAGCGACGTGCCATTTCCTAATCGTCGCGGTATTTTTGTTCGCTCTTTCTCTCCCTCCCACTCGCACTTTTTCACTATCTCTCTCTCGCTCTCTCTCTCTCTCTCTCTCTCTCTCTCTTTCCTTTAACTATCTTAAGTCTCTGTGTTTAGTTATCCTAGCGCCTGTTACAATAATCGTATTATACATAAAATCGTGTTTGCCTAGTGGTCTCCGTCGATCCGGCGCGTATCGCGAGCGATCGAGTTTCGATCGGACAGCGTCGAGACGAAAAATCCCGGTATTTATTTCAGCCGCGAGAACGCGAGCACGCGCGCGCGCGCGCGCACGAGACGCCCTCGAATTGTCTCCGCGTAAAAATACCGAGCAATTTTCGGAAGGCCGGACACCTCGAGCCGTAACACGGTGTCGTCTTCGTCCTCGTCTCTTCGTCGTGTACGTGCGCCTGCTTTCCCCGGCTCTTGTTCGCGCCTCGCTTAGAACGCAACTTTACGCTCCACCGGGCTGGCCCACATTCCCTCGAGCAACGAGCGACAAAAGATTCAGCCTGCCTCCTCGCGAACAACGAGGAACGAGCACGTTCCCGCGCTTCTCCCTTTTCCTACCCTGAAAGAGAAGCGCGGCCATCGAGAGCCACGATTCTCGCGAGATACCTATCTCTCGGGAGAGCGTCAATCCTCTCTGAGAATCCTCGATCGAGAATGCTCGCGACACCCGGTCTAACGATCTAAACGGCGGCTGTCTTCGAGGGATCGTCTCGTTAACGAGAGAAATCGGATTCGCGATTGCGATAGACGTAGATCCGATTCGCGTGCGCGTAGAACGCCAGTGTTTCGACCACTCTCGCGGCGCCTATCGAGAGACCCTGGGCTCTTTGGTATTGTTCTCCTGCGGAGACTCCGAAAAGCGCGACCTTCGAACGCCCTTCTGCCTGCTTCTTCTCCGAGATTATTCGCCTTTTTTCTCTCCTCCTCCTACCCCTCCCCCTCGCTCTCACCCCTCTATCTCTTTCACTCCACCTGCCCACCGATGGCGACTCGCGCGATCTTTCGGGGTCAAGCACCACTTCCGAATCACGAGCGCCACTCGAACGCCTCTCCTCTCGCCGCGGTATGAAACTGAAGTGGATCGGAAGTGGCAAGAATCCGGCCGTAACTCTTTTTCTTGCGCCGCACTCGAGCGGCCATCTCTTCCTCGCTGTGCGTGTGTGTGTGTCTCTGTGTCGCGAGATCTTTCGAAAAGAGAAGCGACAGCGGCGCGTCGAAGCGGAATCAGAGAAATAATAGTAGTAGAAGAAGAAAAAGAAGGAAAAAGTAGAAGAACAAGAAGAAGAAGAAGAAGTAATCGAAGTCGTCGAGGATGAAGTTAGACGATAGAAGGTACGAATGCCCGTTACCGAAACGAAGGCTCGGGTCCTTCGGCAGGACTCGTCCTCTAATGCCCGACATGACAACGGTCCCCGAAAATGTCTGCGCGACGATTCGCTGCCCCGTTTCGTTTCCCCCGCGGTTTCCCTTTCTAGAAGATTCTTTGATCGACGGCGGATCGATCCCGATCGATCGACAGATCTCGCCTCCTCGTTCGTTTCCTGGTCGCGCGCGTTGGCCCTCTCACGACTTGTGCTTAGTGCTTCTCGTGGGCTGATCGAGACTGTGTCCTCTCTCGATCCCTATCGACTCTTATCGAGCGCACCCCGAGCGTGCTCCGCATCGGATCGAATCGGATCGAATCGAATCGAATCCGATCGGATCGGATCGTTACGCTCGGAGTGGAAGGGCCCCGCGCGGTTATCGCTAGCAGTAGTACGAGGTCGACAGTCCCAGCTTGCAGGAAAACGGCGCCCTACGCCTGTTGTACACACTTCCGGTGCTGATGACGTCCTTCGTCTCGCACCGCTGACCCGTGAAGCCCTCCGCGCATCTGAAACAAATCAATCACGACATTCAACCTCTTTCTTCATTGTTCCGACTCGAAACTGTATTTTCTACGCCTTCTTCGTGAACGAACGAGAATTGAGACAATGGCACAACGAGGGACAGTCTAATTAGAAAGAACATGGTTATTCTTTAGGAAAGAGGTACAACCTCGCTAGGTTTTACATTTGTCGTTTTACAATTGTTTAAGTTGCGAAGATTCTTTCGTTAGAGGCGATTGGAAATTCCTTTATGCACACACAAGCTTGCAGTGTAATAGAAATTGCGAAAAGTTTGAATAAATTCGGTTGTTATTCTTATAATGCAACTCACGTTAGTCACTTTTAGAGCTCGCTAGGCTTTGTGTTAATACTAAAATGATCCTGTTTCTTTAGATTACAATATATTACATTTCCATGTTTTTAACAGCGCGATGTGAAATTTGCTAAACTAATTTGAAGTACGTACATATGTATTCCATTGGAATGTTTACATTTAAAAGATGTTGAAGAGACTTCGGTATGCCGCAAATATTGCTGGACCCAAGTTACTGTTAGATTTAACCAGTTATCTGTGTTTGACGAATCAAAGGATACATAATCTCCGATTGAGAAGGATTTATATTTCGATATTCTTCGTTAGATTATATATTTTATACAAGCGTTGTGTTTAAACTAAATATGAAGAATAACAGTTGCAGTAACTTACATCCTTTTCGAGGAGATCGCAGCGCAGCTAACTGGTTAAAGATCCCGAACTTTCCAGACGTGTCTTAACGAACGTGGCAAATTGTACGTTCGCGCAACTTCGAGTTGCCAAAAGCGACATACCAGCGAGCGTGCCAATTTATGTCTCGCGTGGACATTAGCGTTATGTTATTTTCAATTTGTATTAGCTCGTAGAGCGCAACCCCTTAAGAGCCGGGCTACAAGTTATGGGCAATAGAGTATGCTAGTCGAGTAAATCTGAGAGCGCGAAACAAAGCCATCCGGCTTAATTAACCGGTCGTCGGTAGTCAAGGCGTTGAGAGCTGAATCTCGGTGACAAGTAGCAGCCTTATTGCATGCTATCGCGAGCCTCGGCCTCGCATAATCGCGTGGGACGTGTTCCTAAGCGAGCGAGAGACCGTCTCCTGGAACGCCGACTATCCCAGCGACGTGTTCATTAGGCGAGAAAAACGCAATTACGGAAAGAACCCGCGTAAAATCGTTTAGCGTCGAGCCAGGCATCTCTGATTCTGTGTGCGGACGGTGCTCTCTCCGGTTCTGGGCTGCGAACACGCGAGTGCCGCGAACGACACGTCCACCAACAGCATTCGTACGTCTCGTCGCGGTTAGTTAACCGTGCTATAAATACGACGACGTCGGCATAACATTATTTTTCCAAAGAAACGTCGTGGACACGTTGGAGCTGTGTCTCGAGCCAGGGGATCCCCTCTTCGCGCGTCTCGTCTCGTCTCTTGCTACCTAATTCGAACGCAGAAATCGGCCGCGAAATTGTCCTCTATCCTCCTAATAGCAAGTAAAAGCTGTGACACTCGAACCATTCATCCTCCTAATCGACGATACCTCAGCTAACACCCAGAGTCAGTTAATTTAGCGCATGACTTTTTAAACACGAGATTTTCTCTATTTTCAGATCGGACTGCGAATCTTAATGGAAAATAAAGATTGTCCTCGTTAGTTACAAAATGCAGGAACTACACACATTTATTTTTATTGTTAATAATTTTAATCGATTGACAGCAAAGTGTTTAATTATTTTAATTATTAATTATATATATTATATATATACATATATATATATATATATATATATATATATATTATTATATATATACTTATATATTATTATATATTAATTNCCTAATAGCAAGTAAAAGCTGTGACACTCGAACCATTCATCCTCCTAATCGACGATACCTCAGCTAACACCCAGAGTCAGTTAATTTAGCGCATGACTTTTTAAACACGAGATTTTCTCTATTTTCAGATCGGACTGCGAATCTTAATGGAAAATAAAGATTGTCCTCGTTAGTTACAAAATGCAGGAACTACACACATTTATTTTTATTGTTAATAATTTTAATCGATTGACAGCAAAGTGTTTAATTATTTTAATTATTAATTATATATATTATATATATACATATATATATATATATATATATATATATATATATATTATTATATATATACTTATATATTATTATATATTAATTTAATTATTTCCAAAGTGTTTAAATGGTTTCGCTATTTGACATTCGATCGACTGATTTTTGACATAATTGCATAAAATCCGCAGTCTAGTGATTACTGTTCTACGAAACGCGTGCTTTTTCTCGCGTCGAATAACGAGAGCTTACTCAACAGAACGTCCTCCGTTATCCATAAAGCAAAATTACGTACTGAAGAGCCGATGCAGGAATTAATGCGAAGAAAATATTTTGTAGCTCATAAAAATTCGATCCAGCTAACTTCCGAAACGTGGCAAGCAACTGGATTGGATTAGAACTTGGTTAACGACCTAACATAAACCGAACGATGTACCGGCAAATTTTCTAAACTCCTCTCTGACGATAACCGCGTTATCCATGTTTGACGATACATCAAATCTTCGCACGATACATAAAACTAATTAGTAGACAGCGGATTTTACACAGTGGACATAGACCCCCTTGCCATATTTTGAGATTTCTAGTAATAACCTGTTAATTATGAATGTTATTCCGTTCTTTTAAGTCAGAATTAAATACGATTCTCTTGCCATCGATATTTAAACATTCAAGTAAATAGTAGGCACAGATTGAATATAAACGTTCTTTCGCTGCTACACAAAAAAGAGAGAGAAATGATTAAGTGGTTAATAAGGGTTTTAGCGAGAGATTACCGACAAGATTGAATAGAATTTCGAATTCAGTTTATCATGATTATTAACTCTAGGTTTACGGAATCCGTCAAAATGTCGGGTCACTAAATTTTTATTCTACGACTATCCAGATTGTAAAGGTACATTTACGAATTATTTATTCTACACATGTGTTACTTGCGGCAAATATTACAGTAAAGCTCGTCAAAAATCATAATAAATCCCTTATCGTTACTTTTGCGAATTAATATAAAACAGCTGCTCTTAGTGCTCCGTAAATCTACTGTTAAAGAAGAAGAAAATTCCGACCCGGTTCCTGCTTCTTGTAATCGTCGCAAACGATGTTTATTTTGCACGAGCATTCGTAGTCCAGTGATTAGAGCCGAAAGCTCGTGGAAGAGCTGGCGACGATACGGCAGGGTATCACTTATATTTTGGTCCGTCCCCTTTGCGTTTTATTTCGTCGAATCGCAGACGGACTGGGGTAGGTAAGGTCTCGCGGGGAAACGTTCCAGAATGGTCCGCCTGGCGGAAAGAGAAGAGGCCGAGAGGAGAGAGGAGGACGAGTGGAGTCTGTGCGAGGAGGGAATCGCGCGAGAGAGGAGGCTCTTTGAGGGACCTGTCTGCCGAGAGTTTGTCGCGCGTCCAGACCCGTTTAAAGCGTATTAAAAAACTGACAGGGGACATATGCTCGGGCGCTCGTTAACGCGATAAATACTCGCGCGAAAAAGCGCGTACCCGCGCCGCCATCGCTCCGGCATTATTTATCCTGCGCGGGCGAACGGCCGCGGGAATCGCGTTTTACAACAAATTCCGTCGTCGGTGCTCCAGCGATTTTTACGAGGGCCCCACGGTTCGCGACATCGAACGCCGACCTAACACTCTTTCTCCCTCTTGGTCTCTCTCTTTCACTCTCTCTCTCTCTCTCTCTCTCTCTCTCTCTCTCTCTCTCTCTTCTTCCCGACACTTTTTTTTTCTTCCCCCGAGTTCTGAGCGGCACCCTCGCGGATTTACGAGGAGCCACGCACTAAATATACCGGCGGCGCGTACGATTTACCGTCGGACAAACCTGAAACCGCACCCGGAGATACTACAATTTACTGTACCATTCACTTGAACCCATTAACGCTCGCCGGTAACTTCGCCCGGCGGCCGCGTAATTGGCTTTCCATTGAGATTTATCGTAATCATGCGTGTTTACTAGCCGGAGGAACTCTTTTACACGCGAGCATTGGGGCACGAGAACGCGGCGCGAGCAATAAAACGCGCTCTCGCCCCGCTACCCCCTCCGCGGAGAGCGCTCGCCGTTGAAATTTCACCGTCTGAAAAATCGCCGCCCGGCAAAAATCCTACTTTACACCGGGCGCGCAGATTTTTCAAAGTCGTTGCGCGTTTCAACCCGCATCACCTGACGCCCTCTTTCGGCCGGGATGGAATCCACCCCCGGCGGCCGACACATTTATCCCCGTTCGTCGTTCTATGTATATACACTTATCCCGATGATTTGCCAGCGAATTAATCCGAAATTACAGCGGATCGACCAGAGAGAAACGGAGACAGAGTTTGCGCGTTTCGTATGAGGCGAGCCGGTGCCCGCCGGCCAAAATCAACGAAATAATTCCGCGATGAGTCAACAGGGTTGTTAATTAATATTTTCGCCCGGTGACGTATCGGGCCCGGTGTAAACAAAAACGCGTTCGACGAGAGATAGGGTCACGCCAGCGCCCCGGCTGTCGTTAAAATCTGATCTTCCTGGCTGACAGGTTTTACGGGTTGCGATTTCTCGGTTGCGCGTAAAGCTTGCGATAGCGTTTCATCCGTGTCTGTATCTCTGTGCCTGTCTCTCTGTGTTTCCGTGTACGCGTGTGTCCTACATGGGGGTGTACCGGTTCTAGCTACGCCATCGCGATTCGTGACGAGTGCGTCATAGGTGCGTGCTGGAATATTTATACGTCGATATCTCGCTCTGTAAAAAAACAGTAAATTAAAGTAGCTCGTTAATCCGACGTCGTAAAAAACCTGGGATCGTTCGCGTTGGGGGTTCAATCGTTCGTGACACAACTATTCCCGTCCTGGTTGCGTTCCGACTTCGCTAGCAACGTTTCCCATAATATTTTACTATTATCATTATTGCTATAT